GTTTATTATGAAACTGTGGCGGCCTTCTCTTAGTATTTTTCAGCATGACATGTTTTAGAATAATTGTCGACATTGCACGTCTATAGTGTGAGTTTTGCATATGCTGTGATCGCAATATCTGAATCTGATGTTTGCTCAAGAAATGTTGTTGGAGAGTGGTAAGTCCTAGTCATGCCTGTCTTTTTCAGTCCTGAACAAGACAAGAAATAAGCATTAACTGATTAAGCTTCAGGAGTGTTAAAAAAGGAATATTTAATAATGCAGTGTTTGTGTTTTATATTAGCTTATCTGCTGGGGTAATTCTGTTTGTCATGCAATTTAAGGAAGTCTTGCATACCTAAATGTTACAGAAAGGTATGCTCGATGCTTGAAATGAATTCCCACAACACAGTGAACTTTGAATTTGTTAAGCTATTATCACATAATCTGTATTAAAGTTAAATGCAATAACTACTGCCGACGCACACTCACAAAAGGGAAGCCTAATGAGGTTTGCATGACTTATTGTCTGTCTTGCAGTCAGCTTCATTTATAGCCATACTAAATTGATTTGGAAAATATTATTAAACCTACTGAACCGTAATTTCTCTAATTATTACAGAGCAACCTCAACATTTATATTACTAAATAAGAATACACACAGGGAAGCCGTTTCATTCTGCAACCCAAACCAAACCTTTTGAGCCCCTCTCTCATCTCTGTGCTGCTGCATGCCTAGAATGTTAAACTGCTGAAGAATACAGCCTATTTCTAAGGCTTCCTCCCTCTTCCCTTGTATTTAAACTGGAACATCTCCAAACACCCACCTTTGGTTGATGTCTAAGTGTGTGTTGAGAAGCTAAAGGAATAAAGTCCAAACAGCTTAAGCATCCAGGGCCATTATATTCTTCCAGGCCTTTTTCCCTTTGCAAGACTTGTAAATATGAGCTTCCAAAAAAGAAGAATTATGACATTTTGATGCATAGGTTATGCTTTATTTATTTGCAGTGTATAATTTCCACATTCTGTAGCCTCTTAAGCTTGATATTTTAAAATGTTGTAATTATGAGAAAATGCATTGTAAAATAACCTTACACTTTTTAACATGTGCAGTGAAATGTCTCTACTGCTCTGCCAACAGTGTTAATCAAAAACCTCTAATCCTAAAGTCAGAATCAGCAATTACTCTACATGTGACAAAGTGGAGATGTAATACTTTGTGATAATTGCATCGCCACTGTTCGGGTTAAGGTTTAAACCTCTAGAGGGGTATGTAACTTGGGATCAGATTACACCCCTGGTTGGATGATTGGTGTATTATTGTATCTTCATATTCAAGTTTGCGGTCGTGGTCTGTTGATAATGGCGGATAAGACACAGGTTGGCTCAGTAATTCAAGGGGATGGACGCTAATTCACACTGAAAGACACTGGCTGTGATTTGTTCTTCTTATCTATATGGATGGCCGTCTGCATGCTGTGCACTTTAACTGGCGCTGCTGCCATCATTACCGCTGCTATGGAGACAGGAGGGCGGACAGGGTCTCATCCAAATCCATCAGCACGTCTGAGTTATTCAGCCCTGCCCTGCTCTGGACAGGCTCATACGTAGAGTTCATACCAAGGGAGGGGCGTGAAGGCTGCTAAATCATTCTACATCAGACGGCAGCTTGAGAAAATCAATGCTTCTTCGCTTTTTCCTGCAGATCAGTGCATGGGGTGAGGACAGGATGATGCAGAGTAGAGAAGAAAAAGGGTCTGTTTATGTTTTAATCATCTTAATTTTAATTAGGATGAAAGGGACATGGAGACTAGTGGTAAGGAGAAGCCAAGTACAGATGGCCAAGGCCGCATCACCAGGGGCTACTGTACCATGTAGCAATAGTACACACAGTGATCACACAGGGTCAGTGCATGACATTAAGGATTTTGGGAGATGGCCCTGTGGGCCATCTAAGCTAATTTACAGATGGCCCTGAGCCCAATAGAGATTGCCCTGAAAAATACGCGTGGACGAAATGGCACGAAGGGTTTGGGGGGCCTCCCCCTAGAAAATTTAGATTTTTGCAGGTCTTAGATGCTGTCTGGTGCATTCTCTAGACTGAATTGAGATGAACCACCACAATATTATATTATACAATTTCAATTTTATTCTTCATTTAACTTATTTGTTTGTTCTTGTTTGTGTTTGCTCGCTTGCATGCCCTGCATAGCTATAAGAAACACTTAAAGGTCACATGTCATGGCCATTTCCACTGATCATAATTCCATTGTTGATGTCTACTAGAATAGATTTATACTGTGCAATTTTCCAAACTCACATTGTTTCGCATACAGCATCTCTGTAAACTACGTGTATTCACTCTCTCCACTAAACGGCTCGTTGCAGCTCTCGCCCCCCCTCCCTGTGAGCCCAGTGTGTTCCGATTGGTCAGCTCGGCCCCTCTGTTCTGATTTGTCAACTACCACAGAGGCTCTGCCCCAGTTGACATCTGCCGTAAAGTGGTTTAGCGGGTACTTAGCCCACTTAGCCCATGGTGTTTTTCGGCTCTGAGCGGAGTAGCAGAAATGAAATCGTGTCAGTAAAGCCATATATGTACGAACCGGAGTCCGACCCTGAGAGTGAAACGGACCGTGATGGACCTGATCCACCGTCCCAAACAAGAATACAGCAGGCGGTTTCACAGTGGAAACGTTTTAAATTTTGTATAGCTGCTACATTTCAGATGTAATGTTAGAACTTCAATCATTTATCTACATCACAGTAACAAGTGTGTCCGCTGACTAACCAAACTTTCCAACTGTTGTTATTTAGGTGCACGTGTGGAAACTGCGCAGTAATGCCTACCGAGGTGGAAAACCTCTGTTGCAGGGAGATTAGAAAGGTGACAGTGTAGTGCCGATGAAAGGGAGTCGGGGGGCGGTGTGTTTAGAATCAGGTAAATACATGTCTGCTCTGTCTGACAAGCTAGGAATGACAAACTAAACCTAAGAGCACACACTAAAGGGTCCGTGTGGCAACACTATACCAAAGGTGAATTATGGTCAAAACAGGGTGTCACCACAACAAATACAAAAACACCAACAGTAGCACACAACATTATATACACCATACATACTTGTCAAGTCAATAGACTATATGCCCTTTTATTTATTCTATAGTAATTGAATGTTTATTTTGTAAACCTCGCCATAGTTGGATTTAATTGCTAAACGTATTATGTTACAAATATCTTATCCTCCTATAGGTTTTAACACGAATGCACCAAGTCCCAGAACCCATTGTGTGCATGGTTGACCACCCCGGACTAGAACCAAACTGCCTCAATCCCTACACCCTGCAGAACCTCCACAATATTTATCGGTTTGATTATGGACCTTTGAGGCGTAGAACTGAAGAAGAGTAAGTTATTTTTAGCTATAATAAACTACTACTGTATTAGATGAAAAATCAAATAATGGTTTGCTATATATGAATGATCTAGGTGCAAATAATTCAGGGAAGAAAGGCTATCAAGTAGTTCCATCAAACTTTATTTTGATAAATGTACAAATTGATCATGTGTATATATACACTGTATGAGATAAGATGAACGTTTATTAATCACTGTGGGAAATTCAGTTGTTCAAGCAGCAGAGGGGTAAGGGTGAAAAAACAGGACAGCACATATATGTTATCATCCATTCCTCCTCTTATAGGCGTTTTAGGCATCTGGCCTATCGCAGCTTCGTAAGCTGGTGCTGGGGCTTTTTGGGACGAGGAATATAGAGTGGTCATCCCGTCGTGTGTGGTCCGCCGGATACGCCAGGAGTTCCCTGATCTGGCTGGCCAGTACGTGGGCTTCCGACCGCCCCTAGACTAAAACGTGAGACATGGCGGGCTACCACTTCCTCCTTTGAGGGCCTGTCAAATTGAGTGGACAGGTCCTTTGGGATGTTGATTTTATTCATCTCCTCCACAAAGGGTGTTGGGTCCTCAAAGACTTCTTCAAACACCAGCCTCATCAGCTCACCCACATACACTGAAAAATATAACATTCATATAATAATTAATTATTTGTATACACTTATTCATTTCTCTTTTATTCTTTCATTGTACAGATAATTCAGTGTAATTCAGTGTTCAGCATCAACAGCCAGCACGCCTAAAATTACACCCAGAAAGAGAATCCCACCTGAACAAGCTGGAAGTCCACAATGGTGTTGCTTCCCAGGTGCATTAGTGTGTAGCTCCCAAACTTAGCTGAGTGGCCTGAAGAAAATATAATACAGGAGGTTTCAAGACTTTTCAACAGAATTTCAATGGATAAGTTCGATGAATTGTAATATACACCAGTAACTCTGGCACTAGACTGTCTTGTCTGTTTCTGCTTACCTGGAGAGTCTGCTCTCATATCTCCTGCAACTGTGACCTTTCCCCCCTGGTGGTGTAGTTGCTGGAAAATCTTCAGCTGATCAGTTTTCCACTTGTGGATAATAGCAGGCTCCAGATAATGCCTAGCATGCCTCCTGAAGGTCTCATACTGGAAGATCTCCAGCTGCATGGCTCTGCATATCTATGAATAAATTGAAAAACAGGACAAGTATTTGAAAAAGTCCACTTCTGTCATTTTTCATATGCTATGGATGTAAGATGGTAAAATACCTTTTTTAGTTGGAAGAAGGAAGCACCAGTGAAGTATGTAGCAGCAGATAATTGTAAGTTGCCAACCGGGGTACTTCCAATGATGGGCTGGCTCTCCCATTGTCTGAAGTAAGTGCAGTTTGGACAACGCTGTTTGAACGCCACAAAAGTCCCATTTTTTCGTTTTTGGACATCACAGTCTGTCTTACAAAACGGACATTTTTCAAACAGCTGTCCGAGGCAGCTTTCAAACACAATGTACTTTGCGTCACTGTGCGTGGATCGTGTCTGAAGTCTAATGTAACAAAACAAAATTAACAATACATGTTAGATGTCAACTCTGAACAACAGTAATAGTAATGTGTACCAAATATACCAAACTTACGACATGTCAGATTCTTCTACAGTATCATCAGGGTGGTAACTCGAATCCAGAGTCTCTTCAAATTCAATCGAAGTCTCTCCTTGTTCCTGCTCCAACTCTAGTCGAGGTCTCTTGCTAGGTCCCAATCCTGGGCCCTTTATTGGTGTAGAGGACAAGGGGATTTCTGTGTAGGTGGAAGTTTTAGTGCCAACACTTTTGAAAGACACCGTGCCCTGGATGCCTGTTAATAAAAAGGGAAAAGTGCATAAATACTATGTACATTAGATAAGACACTAATACATTGTAAAAGGCCAACAATTTGTGTACATCTGACAGATTAATTCATGAAAAATGTACAAACTACAAACAGCAGTGTATTTCTTGTAGTCAACATAACAGTATTTCTGTGATATACAATAATATCAAATAAGGTTTTATTTATAGAGCACATTTAAAAAATATTTTTGGTCGAGCCCAAGTGCTGTACATGTAAAAAAAAAAAGCACAATTAAGGTAATGTATCTGTGATTTGTCAGTGTTATAGTCTACCTTTGCTTCTCACGTGTGCCGATTTCAGTGTTCCCCGGGCCAACTGTGTAGCAACAGAAATGGCGGACACTTTACATTCCACTGTCTGTGTTCCCACAGACCGTGTCTCAACCCTCTGAGTTCCCACACAAACAGTCTGTTTGACATCCGACTGTACTGGAGCAGTTGGTATTGTGTTCCTGCTGTGATGTACTCTAAGAAAGATACACATAGTATTTCATACAATTAATTTTGTATCCGAGGAAAACAGTCAATTTCATAAAAGCAACACTTTTACAATTACAATGTTCTACAGATAGTCTGCTACGTTCGTTCATTCATTGTAGCTGGCATGAAACAATGTTTTTCATAACATCTCTAGGTTAGAAGCTTCTAGCCTTAGCTTATTAATGGTATCTCGGTAGAATACACGAACGGCAACTGTAATTACTGACCGTACGGTTAAATCACCCGGAGTATACTGTCTATGAGTATTTCGTGTGTGTTTGCAGACATTCTCCTGCTATGAGATACATGTAAGGCCATGTGCTAACATCGGTGTTGAGGTCTGGGAATGCTAGGTAGCCCTCGTGTTTACCTCGGTAGCATAGCATTAGCATAGCATTTACACAGTCGTGGTAGATACATTGTTTGTTTTAAACAGAATAAATACACAAACCACAATGAATACTTACAGGTTGTGTACCCGAATCTCCCGCTGGTCCAAACAAAGTAGGAACAGCATCGTCCTCCAATATCAGCTTTGCAAGTCCGAAGCTAAACATTGTTAAGTTTTTTAAGCTTTGGTCCGTGAAATGCCGCACACACAACAGTACCGGCTGGTAAATCAGCTGGAACAGTGTTAAAAAGGAATGTCAACCACTGACTTCGTAGTGGTTCTGCCTTCGGTACTGCAAACATTGTGGATTTCTCCACACAATACAGGCAACAGACCCTCCGCGACATGACTGGATAGAGCTTTGAAAGAAGCAGGTTTTATGACACTTAATATGGTCGGCTGGCAGAGGAAGTGACGTCACGTGGTGCAGCTACGTCACGCGGGGCAGGAAGTAAACAATGGAAACTGAGAAATCTCCAACGAGGCTTTTGGGGGAGGTATTTTCTGTTTTAGAGTTTACTCGCTACAGGGTGTACTTTGAGGGTTTTGACTTTGCAGACTGTTTACATGCATAAAAACCTTCATAACACACAAGGGGACGGGCAATAACCGGAAAAGCATGACATGGGACCTTTAAGTTGTTGGTCAAGACACTTTCCATCTGAAGAAGGCAAATGCCTTCCCAGATGTAAAAAAGTAGAAAACATTACATTCAGTTATAACTGCCAAAACAAACATTATTTACACTATTATGGCCCCTGTTAAAAATGTTTGTAATGTTATCTACTGTAAGTTGGTCGAACGCATGCCTCCTCATCCCGAGCGCATCCGCGAAGCACACAAAATGGCGACGTCAGAGTTCCCGTTAGCCGGCAAATCTAAATATCTTCGGTCAAAATAATTTCCCTTTAGCGCAATGCCGCTTCAGTTGCGCCACTTATGTGACAGACAAGAAAAGTATGTGACAGACAAGAATAGTCCATTTTAATGTCTAACACTTAATGTGGAGAAATAGATGTCCTGTGTGGGTTGATTGTGCGTTGATCTGTTGGTAATGCCTCGGGGTTCCGGTGGGCATGTAAACAAATGCATAATGCTGCGCTATACTTTGTGGTCTCACCCAGTTGCATAGCGACACTTATTGTTTAGGTGTCTTTTAATAAGCAGGTAGTCATATCGTTAGCTAGAACTAGCTGGATCTGATCGATATGGACATAAACGCGAGTGAAGTCTAATCTGACGGGAGAGAGAGATCAGCTGCTGCTGACGAGTCGACACGCAGCTCTGCATAATCACATGCAGCGGTGAGTGGACAAAACACACACTTCAGGTTAGAATATCGTAGCTATTTTAATTACCTCTCAAACTACCTACACTAGTTATAGATATGTTTAGTTTTACTGTCGGGTCACTCATTACTGGATCCGCCAGCTGCATGATACTGGCATAATAGATTGCCCCATCGGGCAACCAGCAGGTGAGGCTTCATTGCCCGAGCTAAATACTAGATGGCCCCGGGCCATCGGGCAGTCCTTAATGTCGAGCCCTGCACAGGGTCGTATCATGTCAAGCCACATGATCTGTAAAGCAAGACCAGTGTAGTCACAGGGTGTTTCTCAATGTCGAGTACACTTGCTTGATAGCACATGTCTTCCGAGTCACTTGCTTCAGAAGCGAGGCAAGAATACTTCCTGGCATTCAGAAAACTTAGAGTGGAACAGGTGAGCAAGTGTGCAGGTGTGCGTCATATGAGAGGCCCCGCCTTACATTTTCCGCCACAGATTTGGGGAAATTGGTCCTAGCCATAGACTGTATATATAAATGGACGTAGGGTCCGTGCCGTCACCCATAGGATTCTGCAGAGTTGCCGAGAAGCCTTTAGTAGGCGGAGTCGGCCACTAACGGCTCGACAGTGACGTCAGAGTCTAACTCCCGCCTGCTCCAAATAAGGGCAAAGAGGCGGTGCTGAGGCGGAACCGAGGCGGGACAGGGCGGGACAGGGCGGGACCTGCGGCCAACGAGCGTGACGTTCCAGAACTAGCTCAGGCTAAGAAGCTAAGCTAACATGCTCTCAGTATTAAGCTAACAACCCAGCTTGCGGTCACTGCTCCTCGTTCCTGGCATATTCTGAAGGTAAGATACCCTGTAACTTTACAAAACTTGTCCTTTTGATTTAAATGTTCTTGAACCTACACTATACAATTGTTTTTTAAGTGCTTCACCGTTTTTCAAATATAAATGTCATTTGTAACTAAACGTTGTAAACTAGCAGAGATATGGCCAATGTTGCGTGAATTAAATTAAATTAAATATGACTGTAGAAAAAGAAAGGTGCTTTTATATTGATTAAACCATTTTTATTTCTTTCAGCATTAAGGCGAGACACCCCAGGTGAATAGGGTAATTTTTTTAACTTAAAGGTATCAGCTAGACATTTCTCCAGTTAATTACTTACAATAAGGCAATTGTCTTTTGTATTACAAGTTTTCTGAAATAGCATGTTTAAAAATGCAAATTATCCATTATCTCATTAAATATGCACATATTTTAACACATTTCAGGAATCGAAATCTGAACTTTGGATATAGCCAGGTTAAAAATTCTTGTTTCATTTTGTAGTCATATTAGTATCTAAGGCTTTTACAGAAGGGATATTGGATATCTCTTTTTATCACTCCATAAATCTGAAAATACTGTCAACAGCCCTAAAATATCAATTTTCACCATGTTTTTAGGTATACAATGTTGTATAATTCAGGCTATGAATGATATATGAACAAACCCTTCTGTAAAAGCCTTCATAATATTGATAGGAATATAACTAGAAGGTTTGGTGTATGTACGTGCTACTGAAGTTGAAATTTCGAACTCAGAGTAGGAGAAAAAAACTCATTTTGAGAAAACGATCTTTAAAGATTGCAGTGAGGCGCTAGCAGTACTCAAGTTGTAAAAATAAATCAGGGGGGATGGTGGATTTTATCATATGGGGACAACATTTGTGCTGATAACGCGCAGAGGGTGGGAGACCAACCAGCATAAAGATAATTATTATACTCCTAAAACAACATGCATGTTATGGATGTTCAGATACTCCTGCCATTGCTCTTGACCAAGGCACCTCAGAATTGGAGTCGGTCCCCGGGCTGCCATGGCACCACTAACATTTAGGGTCAAATGCAGAGGACAATTAGTGCAAACAAACTTATTTTCACTTTAATTTAAAGGGGGGAGGGGATACAAAAATGTGGTTATAATGGAAGTCTATGGTACAAATCTTGTAGGTTAACAGTCCCAACGTACCTTTTTGTTCAATCTGACATTATACAAAAAGTTAAAATGCACCAAAATCAATCTTCTCATTTATTATTCAGATGGATCAGCTGATGATACTATAATAATAAGTCAAATTTGTTTTTAGAATATTGAATTAGTGTATTTTTTCAAAAAAGCAGTTACTGGTATAACGATCAAAACTGGTATCTAAAGGGTTAATTTTGTATCGTGATTAATTAAATCATTATGTAAATTAAACACTTCATGAAAAAATTGAGGAAGAAAATTAGAAAAATATGGATCCGTCATCATTTTATTGCAGTTCAAATACAAATCTTTTATGTCAACATTCCCAATGTTACTTTTTTTAACAGGGCATTAAGTGATAAGATAATACAAAATAGGACCAATGTTGTCAATGGCTGCCTACTCCACTCTCCCCCATTTCATAGAAGTTTCCAAAGATTTCATAATCATGCTTTTGGTCTAAATTTTTTCTGGCTCTTGCTTTCGGATTGTTAGCTAAGCAATGGCTTTGAAGCCAAGTCTTGACATATGCTTCTGGTCTGAACTTGTTCAGTGGAGGGCCAACACACATGCTTTTTACCTCTAGGGAGCTTCTAGTTGTAGTTAAAATGTTCATCTGACTAAACCCACGTTCACACTCAGCTGTGGAGATGACCAGAGTGTTCACTGCTTGAAGGAGGGGTTTCAGCTCTTCTGGTGCTGGTGGTATCATTTCATCAACAGTTTTGAGTCTGACCATGTCAATATATTCCCTCATCCCTCTCTGAATTTGTCTGCCATTATCAAGCTTGAAAAAGGTGCAGAGTTCCTGTATTTCCTTTTCAGCCTAACGAACTCCACACGCATCTGGCCAGCTAGACGGCTGCAGCACTTTGACGTTGTTAAGAAAGCTCTGGTATTCTTCCTTGCTTCTCTGTTTACCAGGCAGGCAACCCATTCTCGTCTCAATACTAGCAGCCAAGGCATGAAAAAAACGTTGGTGGTTTATTTCTCTGCTGTACCTTGAATTGTTTGTCAGTGGCACTCCTTTGAATAGCTTAAAATCTCTTGCTGTCTGAGTCTCCTCTGCCCTTGGTCCAGGTTGCTCTGCCATTGACTTTAACAAGCGGATCTGCCGACTGAGACTTGCTTCGGCCTTGGGGAGCGTCATGTTTCTGTCTTGAAGGGAGAGCGAGAATTCAGACAGCTCTTCTAAAGCATCATACATGACTCCAAGATTATGGACAAAGGTTGCATTAGAGAGGCGATTTGCTAAACCACTGAACATGCATCTCTCTGTTGATCTTCTTTTAGGATCAACTGAGGCATCAGAAAAGTGCTTGTGGAGCGCTGGGTACTGTTGCCATACAGCTTTAATGGTCCTATAACTGGATGCCACCCATCTAGTGCTGAGAATTCTCCCTATGTTCAGACACTGTAATGCAAGGTCCTCACAACATTCAGTGAGCTCGCGGCGGTTTTTGGAGGATGCATGATAGAGACTGTATATTTTGTCAAAGAAAAACTGGAAATCATTCATCCCTGCAATTTCCTCAACAGCATCTCCAACACTCAACTCAAGACGATGGTTCATGCAGCCATCACGTTGGGAAAGTTTTCAACAAGTTTGGTTGCAACACCTGATTTACTTCCAAGCATGACGGACGCTCCGTCTGAAGCAAAGCAAACAAAGCGCTCCTTCATAATAGCTTCAGAGAAGCTATGGTGTGACAGGTTATTCATCAGAGCTTGATAAATTCCATCTGCATTGGTAGCAGAAAGCTCAACTAGATCCAAGAAGAATGTTAGTGGCTCTTCACTCATCCCTAGGCTTGCTCTAATATAAATGATCAAAACTGATTTTTTACTGTCAGTTGTAGATTCATCTATCAGAACAGAAAATGTTGTTCCACTTTGAAGGACCTTTCCGACTACTCTCTTTCTCATTTCACTTCCTATGTGTCGGCTGATTGTTGCACAGGAATAGTCTGAATGTAAAGTTCTTCCCATGTCAAGTCCATTGACTTGCAGATCAATATCAGTTGGTA